AACAAGACCACCCCCACTTCAGACACTCAGTCTCAAGGACTGGATCCCATACTTGACCCACAAGTTACCCACACTTCTTTAAGACTTGGATACAAAGTCAAGGGTACCCATGACCTCCCTGACGCTCCCCTTCAGGTGTGATCATTCGCTAGAATGAGGAAAGTGCTTTACTATCACTGGTTTATTATAAAGGATACAACTCAAGAACAGCCGAATGGAAGAGATATGTGGACATAAGAACATCCAAACCTGTATTTTTAGAAAAATTTATTTGAGCCAAACGGAGAACTTCTCAACAGACTGAGAAAAATGCTTCTCAGAATGACAGTTTGAATCTTCTTTTATGCATTTGAAATTAAGGGGGGATTTAAAAAATTACATGGGGTGGGGGGCGGGCAGAGGGCTGGAAAAGCTGGCGCTGGCATTAGAACGGGAGTGGCTGTCGCGGCGCCGCCTGCTGCAACGGTGGGTGTCTGACCTCCACCACAGACGACTCCGGGGATGGGTGAGCCGTTGTGAGGGAGATCCTCTGGACCAAGCTATGGTGAAAATGTTTCGGAAAGGCAAAAAATGACACAGTAGTAGCAGTTGCCAAAGTAGTGAAATCAGTACTAGGAGCAAGTCTGTAGATCCAGCCTTTGGGGGGGCTTTCTCGATCCAGCACTGTGGCCAGCCTCGATACAGATTCCACCAAAAGCTCAGGACAAAGAAACGATAATTCAGATACCTGTGCCGAATTTCGAATAAAATACATTGGTGCCATTGAGAAACTTAAACTCTCAGAGGGAAAAAATCTTGAAGGGCCACTAAACCTGATAAATTACATAGATGTTGCCCAGCAAGATGGAAAGTTGCCTTTCGTTCCTCTGGAGGAAGACTTTATTATGGGAGTTTCTAAGTTTGGTATAAAAGTGTCAACATCAGATCAGTATGCTGTTTTACACAGGCATGCTCTGTATTTAATCATCCGGATGGTGTGTTATGATGATGGTCTGGGGGCAGGAAGAAGCTTACTGGCTCTGAAGACCACAGACGCAAGCAACGAAGAATACAGCCTGTGGGTTTATCCGTGCAACAGCCTGGAACAAGCACAAGCAATCTGCAAAGTCTTATCCACTGCTTTGGACGCCGTGTTGACATCTGACAAGTCTTGAATTCTGCAATCAAGTGGAAATTGACCTCAGGTGAAAGTTCAGCTGTTTTCTACAGTTCTATTTTCAATCTGTGATGTTGAACTATGATGAAAATATGTCGTGATCCCTTGCTGTAGGTTTTCTGAAGAAAATACAATGTATAAAATACTGATCATTTGTTTTTCTATTAAAATGTGCCTTATTAAAAAAAATTACATGGGAGAAAGCAAGACAGCGATTGGATTACAGGATAATTAATGAGATTAGGTGCTCTTTTGAGGGTGGTTATGATTATTTCAAAGATGTGTTCATCTAGATGCACAGGAACAACGGACAGGACTGGCTTAAGGCAAAGATAAGCCTTTTACTAAGGAAGCTGTATGCCTGGGGAGTTATCTACTTGTCCTTGAGCTATCAATAAATCAGATTAGGCTCAGGTAGAACAATTCCTCGTGAAGACAGGTTTTTGTTACAGTACAATCTGGGTGTATTTCAAAATAGTTATTTTTTTTCCCTTCCCATAGCCAAACAGGAGGGGAGTTTTCCCTGGTGGGGCACTTGGGAGTAGCACTCAAGGAGGACCCCACTAAAACTGGGCTTTCAGATTTTTAACTCTCAAGCTAGCTCTTGCTCAGCCTCCAGCAATTAGTCAAGGACAGTGTAAGGCTTCCTATGATTCCAGATTCCAGAGACTTCCATTCTGTGTACACTGATTCTCTGCATCTGCCTGTCTCTCCAGTTTTCGGGGCTGCAATTGGTCCCGTGCCTTCAATTTACTGATGAATCTAAGAAGAGTTGTTAATTTTTAGTTGCTTCAGCTTTTCTCCTGTTGTGAGATGGGGAGTGACAACTTCTAAGTTCTTTACCTCTTAAAGCAGATTGCATTTGTTTTTAAACATCTTTTTCTTGATTATATAAGGAAACCTATTTGCTTAGAAAAGTTGGAAAGTAAAAAGAAAATAAAAATCACCTATTATTAATTGCCTAATTTGCAATTAACCATAGTTAACATTTTGATGTATTGGATTGTCGGAAAAGTCATGACGTATTTTGTCTCTGTTTTTGAAAGGTCATTTATTTATATAAAGAACAAAGATCATTCAATGATATATTGCCTTTTTGTTCGATTACCTTTTGCCATCTTTCAGTGAGCTTCATAATTTCTCGTTCATAGAACCTATCTTTATCGGCGAAAAACTGAACAAGGTGCTGATTTATAGCCTCATCTGAATTGAACATTATACCACGCAAGGAGTTTTGAAGAGAGCAAAACAAGTGGAAGTCTGACGGCGCAAGGTCAGGCAAGTATGGCAGGTGTGGCAACACACCCCATTCAAGTTCCAATTATTTTTTATGGGTGATCAAACTTGTGTATGGTCTCATGTTGTCATGATGGAACACAACTCCTTTACAATTAACAAGCTCTGGACGTTTCTGGATGATGGATTCGTTCAAACTGTCCAATTCCCGACAGTACACATTCAAATTGATTGTTTGATTCCTTGGTAGGAGCTTGAAAAACATGACACCTTTAAAATCCCACCACACCGAGAGCATAACCTTCCTCTGATGAATGTCTGCTTTTGATGTTGTTTGAGGCAAATCATCACGTCGGGACCAAGACCATTTGTGCACCACGTTGTTGTAAACAATCCACTTCTCATCACCAGTTATCAGTTGCTTCAAAAAAGGATCGTTTTCCTCACATTTAATGAGCATATTGCAGATGTTTATACGCGCCGTCAAATGAACTTCTTTGAGTTCATGCAGAACCTAAATATTGAGCTTGCCACTCAAGAGTTTGAGCTCTGAGCAACAGCGATTCGATGCCCGGCCTGAGCTGAGCTGCCACTAAGCTGCCAATAGGTAGCAGGATGGCTCAGCTAAAAAAAAAAAAAAAAAAATTCAAGTCCAAATATCAAGCTTGCTTACGTATCCCAGCTTCTTCAGGTGGTCCTGAACACTTGAATGATGGATGTTCAATATTTCTGCAATCTCTCGTGTCGTGTAACATGGGTTTGACTCGATCAATGCCTTTATTTTGTCATCATCAACCTCGGTGGGCCTCCCTGACGGAGGAATGTTGTTGAGATCAAAATCACCACGGAATTTCGTGAACCATCATTGGCACTGATGTTCTTGTAGAGCATTGTCACCATAAACTTTATGCAATTTTTCACAAGTTTGATGCACATTCTTCCCTTTATGGAAGTAAAACAGTATACTATGGCAAAAATGCACAGTTTGGTCTTCCATCTTCAACTTGTAAAACCTCCAAAACTCAACCAAATTGTTTAAATTTTTTTTTAGAATGAAGGTATAACTGTCAGCTGTCAGATGACATAGCAATAACATAGATGCGAATGACTCTAGTACTTCCAAAAATGAACTAGTGCCATCTGTTACAAACATGCGTCATGACTTTTCCGACAACCCAATATATCCATTTGTTATCTATAGATGCTTATATAAAAGGGTGCACACAGTAACACAGTACATGGAGTTTTGTTTTAGCTTCCCCCCCCCCATGTCAGAGACTATTTCTGCAGCTTCTGTAACACTACTACTGAAAATATTTTCAATCTTGAATGTCTTTTGTGAGCACCAGGACACTGTGATGGGTTTCCTTAAGGTCTTAAGGAGCTGGTAGGAATTCTGCTCCTCTTAGAGACTGAGGGTACCATGTAAAGCAGACTGACATCCTCTTATGATCACCTCTGTGCTTATAGTACAGAGGGGGAGAGCAGCAAATGTTAGTGGACTTGGACGTAACTGTTTCTTTTTTTCAACTACAAAAAGTATGAAAAATCTTCCTGCTCCCTTTCCTCAGAGGCCAGAATGCTGAAAGTAAAATTGAATGCTCCATTAGCATAATCTAGGTGGTTCCCATGCTTTTTTTTCCTTCTCCTTCAAAAGGATTTTAATATTTCCATTTTAGTAGCTTTAATGTTTAAAATACACATACAGGGCCGGCTGAGTGGCTTGTTGGTTAAGAGCTGGCTTGGGAGCGTGAGCTCTGAACAGCAGGGCCACCTGTTTGGATCCCACACTGGCCAATGATGCCGTGCCCTCTACAGCTAAGATGGTGAACAACAGCTCGATCAGGAGCTGGGCTGCCGTGAATTGCCTGGGACAGTGTAGGCTGCAGTGGGCTGCCGTGAGCTACCGTGAGTGGCCAGCAGCCTGCGTGAGCTGTGGTGAGCCGCAGTGAGCAGCCATCCAATGGCCAGCGAGCGACTGCCGCACCTGGGAAGAGCACAATGATAATACCAACATGGGCCAGTGAAGCGACGTCCTCCACAACTAGACTGAAGAACAAAAGCAACTTGTCTATTTTCCCCTTCCCCAATTCCCCAACTCTGTTCCCTCCCCCAATTCCCCAATAAAATCTTTAAAAATAAAAATAAAATAATAATAATAATAAAATAAAATACACATGCATTTTACTGAAAGCTACCTGATATTCTATTTTGGAAACTGACAGGATATAAACAATAGATAAACAAAATAACGAGGGACTAATCTGTCTTTCCACCTGCCCCAAACACGTTACTGAGTGGGGGATCCGGGTCATAGGAGGACGGAGACAAGGCCCACAGAGGAGGAGGAAACCAATGCTTAACCATGTTTATAAAGGCCTACTTGAGCCTGGAACTACACCAAGCCTTTACAGCTCAATGGCAGCTATTTTCATTGTTGTATTGATTGGGAAACTATGATCGGAGCGGTTCATATAACTAGGAAGTGGGAAAGCCAGGAAACAATCCACTCATGGCATTCATTGAACACACTTTTATTGAGTGGGGGTGGGGGGTGGAAAGGGGCGGACCCAATAAACGTCCGTAAATAACAAGAC